TGCCTACATCGTGTTATCCTATTTTTAAAATTCGCACCCTGTTGACTTCAATGGGACATGTTCTAAACCTGCCTTTAGCCTCTTGACATCCTTGATTTGTCATTACAAGTGCACAGCCGTGTGAGTGGTGTTATTAAGAGTGACCACGGTCAATCGGACTGCAGTAGATGTGAAAGATATGAATGAAAATGTTAATTTTTAGCCAGCGCACATACCCGTGTTTACTTCCTGTTTTCGGTCGAAGTCCACAGTAGTCGATTGTCGAGTTCGCGCGCGATCATTAGTAACTAAATGATGTTCAACATCTGATTCGGATGAACTATCCATTTGAGCTGATGTTCTAAGCACACCACACAGCACCGTCATAGGCTGACAGCTGACAGTCTGAGTCTCCACTGTTGCTTAGTTACCAATGATCGCGCGCGAACTCGACAATCGACTACTGTGGACTTCGACTGAAAACAGGAAGTAAACACAGGCATGTGTGCTGGCTGAATTAACATCATTTTTATTCATATCTTTCACATCTACTGCAGTCCGATTGACCGTGGTCACTCTTAATAACACCACTCACATGGCTGTGCACTTGTAATGACAAATCAATGATGTTAAAGGGTTAGTTCACCCAAAAATGAAAATTCTGTCAGTATTTACTCCCCCTCATGTTGTTCCAACCCCGTAAGACCTTCGTTCATCTTCAGAACACAAATTAAGATATTTAAGATATTAAGATCGCTCCTGCATACAGTCCATAGGCTTCTTGAGGGAATGACTCTTGCTGGCATCGAAAAGTCATTAAAGACATCGTTAAAATAGTCCAAGTGACTACAGGGGCTCAATCTTAACTTTATCAAACGACGAGAATACATTTTGTGCGCAAAAACAAACAAAAATAACGACTTTATTTCAACTATTCACTTCCTTCTCCATGGGCCTGTAGTCAGTTAACGTAGTGTGATTGCGTAAAGCTACGTCACACGTAGGCTCACTATTGGCCGACGCTGGTCATGTGTGTGATGCGTGTGACGTACAATAACAGAAGCTTACGCTATTAAACTAGTAACCTGACTCGCGCAGAGGGAGAAATAAACCAATAGTTGAAATAAAGTCGTTATTTTTGTTGTTTTTGCGCACAAAAGTGTTCTCGTCATTTGATAAACTTAAGATTGAGCCACTGTAGTCACTTGGACTATTTTAACGATGTCTTTAATGACTTTGAGGCCAGCAAGTGTCATTCCCTCAAGAAGCCTATGGACTAGTATGCAGGAGTGATCTTAATGTCTTAATTTGTGTTCTGAAGATGAACGAAGGTCTTACGGGGTTGGAACAACATGAAGGTGAGTAAATACTGACAGAATTTTTGGGTGAACTAACCCTTTAAGAGGCTAAAAGCAGGTTTAGAACATGTCCCATTGAAGTCAACAGGGTGCGAATTTTAAAAATAGGATAACACGATGTAGGCAACACTGATTTTTGTCATTTTTGTCTGTACTGACAGCACTCTAAATGTACAAAAAAAGAGCTCAATGTTAAAATTGACCGGAGTTCTCCTCTAACTCTTTCAAAACTTAATTAATTAATAACATTATAATATTATAATGACCAAAAAAAACAATGGTATTGAGACCAAAAAAAAACAGATGATATAATTCAGCTAAAACACAAAAACTGAATCAACAACCAAAATCAACCTTACTTTTTAGTGGTCCTTCTCTCATATTCTGTGATTCTGTTTTTTTATATAATACTTCACCGCCTGCCAGTCTCGTTCACCAAGGGCTTTGGGGGCTGCTGTAATGCATGCCATGCAGTCGACTTTTCCAGGAGTAACTCCCGAGTGAATAAATTTCATCATTTTCTCTTCTACAGCCGCAATCTCCACCTCACTCCACTTTCTCTTCCTAGGAACTAATGACAAGAAAATTACATTAATTGCACTGCATGTGTTGTAGGTCCAAGACTGGATTTTTTTTATACTATTCTTTATGATGTTGTTGACCTTTTATAAATAAAGCAAATAAAAACTATAGAGGGTTTTCACAGACGTCACGATCTGGGCGGTAACCCGGATGAGCGGCCATTATGGAGGCACTCGGATGTAAACAACAGCATGGATTGCACTGTTCATGTACTACTGAACACATTGTTTCACAAACAAAACACGGGAAAAAACCTGTGGTAGGTGCGAAATCATACAGAGAAGGACTTATCAAGCAGGAGAGAGCGTTTTGACAAAATAAAGTTAATATGTGGTAAAGGTCAGAACGAGCTAGCTTCTCTAGACCGTAGCTACTGCAATTCTTCCTTCTATTACTTATCCTGACATAGGCTACGTTCAAATTGTCAGTCCAAAAAGCACATGAAATCCGTTTCAAGCTACATCCATATGTGGTTTGAAATCCTATTCAAATACCAGGACATGCCTCAGTCTGAACGATCGGATTTCGGGTGGTATGTGTCTCCCCGGGCATGTAAAATGTAAACGTCAGGTTGTTAGAGGAGACATGCTGGAAGTCGCTGCCGTTGACCGCTCAATCGGACTAAAAACCCTTCATGTAAACACCTTAATCGATCCGATTGAGCTCGATCCGACTAGAATTTCGATCGGATTGAAAGGGGTGGTTTACTCCTTTTGTAATCCGAGCGAGAGAACATGTAAACACTTGATCGGATTGAAAACCGAAACTAAAAGAACTGCGCATGTGCAATGACGTTGAAATAGCGTAATGACATATGACGCACGGAACGAGCTGTTCTTCCTGTTGAATAAAGTGTCATATAAATGAATGTTTCGTTATTAAAAAAATTCTCATTTCACTCCATGTCTGTGAAGTGAAGCAGGACAGCGTCAAACCAGTGTTTGTTTTACATTCTCATCCACACACGACTTTTGGGTGCGGGGTTTTACTGCGTGATAAATACAATCAGCACGGCAAAACAGTTCATGCTCATCGTCTCCAAATCATGACCAGAGACGGATACAAATTAAAAAACACAGATAAAAAAGTCTGTTGTTTAAAACAAATACAGAACCAATAGTGGAGAATAGTTATGCTTATGCTTATGAACAGTGGCATATTCGTGCAGTGTGCGCATGTCAAATAATCAATTCCGATTTGAATCTTGTGACATATAAACGCGCACATCAACCCGATCACTTTATTTATCATTCATGTAAACACCTTAAAAACAGATAATCAGTCAAATGTGCGAGTCCGTTCATTGTTTATGTTAAGTGCCTCCAAAAATGTCCGACTTCCGAATTGATAACGCGTTGTGAAAACCCTCTATTACTGGACAGGTTCCTTACCTGATGTTACTTTCATGACCAACAACCTGAGGCAACCTATAATCAGTCAAACATGACAAATATAAAGGATTTTTACACAAATTATATTATCATGCAAATAATGCAATCCACCCTTAAACAAGGTGTCCCCATAAAGACAGTTAAAATACAGGTCAATGTCCCCAGAAGGTATCATGCAAATAATGCAATCCACCCTTAAACAAGGTGTCCCCATAAAGACAGTTAAAATACAGGTCAATGTCCCCAGAAGGTATCAAATAACATCACACATCGCTTGTTCGTTCTATCCTGCTACAGAAAGCTACAGAAAGTGTGTACAATGATTTTAACTAAAGTACATAAAATTGTAAACTGCAAAAAATAAATAAATAAATAAATATATAAAGATCATTTTTATTATGTATATGCAATGATTTTCCCTTCTCTACATTTATAATTAGTAGTCACTTCTCTAAAGTAATGATCAACTTATTTGAATTGCGATGTGATTGTATTAGAATTTAGGCATGGACCAGAACAGATTAATAATCTAGTTCAATATCTAATTGCAAAAATAAATTATCAAGTTATCAAGTATGAATGTGTCTAAAGTATCAATCAAACATTGAAAGGGTTGCCTTTTAAATGGTTACGAAAATCAGTCAAGATAAAATTAATGAATTCTCCAAACTTTTATGAACTGTGGCCATCATCTATACTTTCTTACCTTGGGATTGGAGTGGGACACATTCCAATCTTCTGCAGAGCTGGAATCTGTGTCCATGTTGTTTTGGAAGGCAACCTGTAATCAGTCAAACATGACAAATATAAAGGTAGAAGATTCTGAGAATTTTACACAAATTATATTATCATGCATATAATGCAATCCCTACTTAAACAAGGTGTCCCCATAAAGACAGTTAAAATACAGGTCAATGTCCCCAGAAGGTATCATGCAAATAATGCAATACACCCTTAAACAAGGTGTCCCCATAAAGACAGTTAAAATACAGGTCAATGTCCCCAGAAGGTATCATGCAAATAATGCAATCCACCCTTAAACAAGGTGTCCCCATAAAGACAGTTAAAATACAGGTCAATGTCCCCAGAAGGTATCATGCAAATAATGCAATGCACCCTTAAACAAGGTGTCCCCATAAAGACAGTTAAAATACAGGTCAATGTCCCCAGAAGGTATCAAATAACATCACACATCGCTTGTTCGTTCTATCCTGCTACAGAAAGCTACAGAAAGTGTGTACAATGATTTTAACTAAAGTACATAAAATTGTAAACTGCAAAAAATAAATAAATAAATAAATAAATAAAGATCATTTTTATTATGTGTATGCAATGATTTTCCCTTCTCTACATTTATAATTAGTAGTCACTTCTCTAAAGTAATGATCAACTTATTTGAATTGCGATGTGATTGTATTAGAATTTAGGCATGGACCAGAACAGATTAATAATCTAGTTCAATATCTAATTGCAAAAATAAATGCAAGTTATCAAGTATGAATGTGTCTAAAGTATCAATCAAACATTGAAAGGGTTGCCTTTTAAATGGTTACGAAAATCAGTCAAGATAAAATTAATGAATTCTCCAAACTTTTATGAACTGTGGCCTTCATCTATCTTACCTTGGGATTGGAGTGGGACACATTCCCATCTTCTGCAGAGCTGGAATCTGTGTCCATGTTGTTTTGGAAGGCAACCTGTAATCAGTCAAACATGACAAATATAAAGGTAGAAGATTCTGAGAATTTTACACAAATTATATTATCATGCACATAATGCAATCCCTACTTAAACAAGGTGTCCCCATAAAGACAGTTAAAATACAGGTCAATGTCCCCAGAAGGTATCATGCAAATAATGCAATCCACCCTTAAACAAGGTGTCCCCATAAAGACAGTTAAAATACAGGTCAATGTCCCCAGAAGGTATCATGCAAATAATGCAATCCACCCTTAAACAAGGTGTCCCCATAAAGACAGTTAAAATACAGGTCAATGTCCCCAGAAGGTATCATGCAAATAATGCAATACACCCTTAAACAAGGTGTCCCCATAAAGACAGTTAAAATACAGGTCAATGTCCCCAGAAGGTATCAAATAACATCACACATCGCTTGTTCGTTCTATCCTCAATTTATACATGAGCACAACAGCAAAAATAATACCCCACAATTTCATGTTGGCTGAGCTTGAGTTGGGCCAATTTCTTGTATAAATGCACTCTCATCATGACATTTCGAAAAATAATCTTACCGTGGTTTTGTCTCTTACAAAAAGATCATTAGAGACATATTGGTTTAACGTTTAGACATTATACAGTTGTATGCAGAGCAGTACACAATCAAAATATTTCTTGGTGAGTCGTATACCTTTTAAACCCTGTCACAGTTAATTGTGATCTTCAGACCACAAACTTCAACTTCAAACTTCCTCAAGTCAAGAATAGTGACTTAAAAAGGTAGATATTTTATGTAACCCTAATTGACAGACTTAGGCAAGTAATTAATGTTGTTACTTACAAATACACTCTCTGTTCTTTCCAGTGGTGGTACACAGTTGCTGGTTGAAGGAGATGCATGGTCAATTTCTGACCATACCTGCAATAAAAAATAATTATCATTTGAGGCTATGAAATTACAAAACAGATTAGGCACTTTGAGACTAAATAAGAGTCTTACAAAACAAAAACAAGGGGAAACAAAGCTTTTCCTCTTGCTAGAGTGACATGTGACAAAAAATTCAAATCCAGCAACCAGTGAGCACATCTACAGTGCGCTCTTTAAGTATTGGGGCCAACACATATTTTATTGTTTTTGCTCTGTACACAAGCACAGTGGATTTGACATAAAGACCTGAGGTTATTGCCAACTTCTGATTAGAGAATGTTTCTATCCATATTCTATGGACAGTGTATGAGGGTAGCCATTTAAATTCATGGTCTCCAAATTTCAGCGGACAAAGTAATTAGACAAACAATATTTTAGGATTTATAATGGTTTTTACTGACGGATGTACCCAATGAACTATATAGGACAACTGCTACGGTGCACCTTATAATTTGCAAAACACAGTAGCAGGATCATAATAGTTTTTAGTTGTATAAATATACTAACACTATATCAGCAAGAAATTACATATCAGTTCCAATGGTTATCCATTGGAGGACTAGGATTCCATCCTCACTAAGCCAAAGTGTCCCCATAAGGCCAGTTAAAATATAGGTCAATGTCCCCAGAAGGTATCATGCAAATAATGCAATCCACCCCTAAACAAGGTGTCCCCATAAAGACAGTTAAAATACAGGTCAATGTCCCCAGAAGGTATTATAAATACTCATTACTACCTATGAGGTTAAAGTGCCAACCAAACTTTCAGGTTTGTTTAGAGGGTGTTTGTATCCATCGTTTGTGAAAAGTTGTTTAAAATGTAGAAACCGATATAATTATATTACAATTTGTCATTCATTACTGTAAATGCGCATCATAAATATGTGTAAAAAATCCAGTATGCCCTAACAGGGTTGGGACAAAGCCTGTAATAATGCCATCCTCGCATCGTTCTGTCAAACACATTATGATAAACATTTTTGCTGGGAAATAATTATTACTACAATATAATGTATACTGTGCGGCTCTGAAACTAAATGGTTATAAAAAAAACTGTCTTATTCCCTATGTGTCTGTTGGTGAGGGTATCACAAAATCTTCTGCTGGTTGAGAGACTGGATGCAATTCTGGGCCCAGCTAAAAATCAAATAAAAAAAATCAATGCTACAGAAAGAGTGTACAATGATTTTAACTAAAGTACATACAATTATAAAATCACTGTTGTTCCCTATCCCTTATGCCTATTAATTACAAAAAGTAATGTTTAAAATTAGGGATGCACCGATCCACATTTTTTCACTTCCGATCCGATCCCGATACCTGACTTTGGATATCGGCCGATACCGATACTTTTCCGATACCAGACCTGTGTTTGCTTTAACATTATTTATCATTATTGTTGATTTTATATGATGCTGAAATAAACACCTCTCTACAAGCAAGGATGATACGTACGTATGTAGCCTATGTCAATATATATATATATATATATATATATATAATAGATATATTAAACAATAGATAGACAATTAAACAAAAATATACGCATTATACAGGCCTACACAGTGCTTTAATTTCAGGAAGGTCTACTAACATTATTCAGGTATATCGTCTAAAAAGAATTATAATAAAGTAATCAAAAGTAAAATAGCACTGCAAAGTTTATCATAGATAGATTTATGCTTATTAAAGCTGAAGTTATTCATTCAAGAGCTGTGAGTGATTTTCTCTTTGCCTTTGGTTGTTTTATTCTCAGTAATGTCGCAATCGTCACATTTATACTGCTGCCCCTTTAAGAACTAGTGCGGATTACATAGTCTACTGATGCACCATATTTTCTCCCAACTATTTCCATAAACCGTTTATGTCTAAAATGAACGTAGTTAAGTGATAATCTCCAAGCCGGTCGTTTTGACATTTTTGTGCAGGCTACATTTGATCGTTTAGACGCGCATATGAAGCCCAAAGTATAATTTGCTTGTCTGTTTCGGAGCGCGCGCCGCCCTCTTGCGCAAATTTTGTGCTTTTAATAGCTCTTTTTATTATTAAAAGCGTGCCGCAATTTAGCAACAGCAGAGACGGCATTTTACAACAATTACCGATCGTGCTGATTCTGTCTTAAAGTTTGAGTTTTACGGAGAAATGACAGTGCACCGCCGCGATGGGAAGGAAGTTGGCTACACAGAATGCGGCTATTGTTTAATGTTTTTTTTTTACCTCAATATATTCTTTAATCTTTGGAAATCAGACTAATATCACAGATCTAAAGTGTAACCAGGCTATGTTTTCTCTGTCATCACTCATTAAGCAGGGCTGTCGTGTTGTGCGTGCTGTGGCACCGCGTGAGAGATCTCTCTCTCTTTCTCTTCTGGACTGCGAATTGCAAACATGCATCACAGACAAATAGTTTAATTTATACGGCTTTGCAAACATTGCATTTTGCTGTCTTGCTCTGCTGCGGTGTTTCCAGTGTGAAGTATTTCCACCATAGGATTTCCCCACAGCGAACATATTGGTAGCTCAATGCTATCCTGCTAGCTGGCTGCAAACTGCGGAATGGATTTCTTGAGCGGGCGTCTGTGTGTCTCATTGAGCCCTATTTTTTACAGTCTATGATTGAGCTGCACCTCCGTTCAGGATATCCATTCCACAGTTTGCAGCCAGCTAGCAGACTAGCAGAGGAATCCCTTTTAGAGTCATTTCAGCAGCCAACGTTAAAGCGCAGACATGGATCATAAATATCGGATTTCTCCGCAGGTTGGATCGGAAAAATCCGATACGTGAATTACGCTGGTATCGGTCCCGATACCGATACTGGATCGGATCGGCCCCATCCCTATTTAAAATGTTTTCCATCAAATATATAGGAGATTCGGGCTGTGGAGGAAGAGAGTAGACAAGCCAGGGCAGTAGCCATGAAACAGCAAGGCAGCTGGACCAGGTGGGGAAGTGTCAGAGGAAGAGCTCTCAGTTGGAAGGACATCTGGAACATGGAGGGGCATCGAATAAAGTTCCTCCTTAGCTCCGTGTATGATGTCCTGCCAACACCAACAAACCTTCAAAGATGGAGACTGACAGAGGATTTCTCCTGTGCGCTGTGCAAGAGACCGGCAAACCTGGAGCACATTCTGTCGTCCTGTCGGGCAGGACTGACTGAAGGGAGGTTCAGGTGGTGCCATGATCAGGTGCTCGCACAGCTGGCTGAGGGACTGGAAAAGGACAGGAAGTGGAAAAGAACCAAGGGCCAAGATAGAGGTCCCCACTTCATTTGCTTCCTCAGGCCTGAGGAGAAGGCAGGCAAGGAGGAAAGATGTTTAGGAATCCTAGGTACAGCAGAGGACTGGGAAATGAGACTTGATCTGGGGAGGCAACTCAAGTTCCCAGAGGAAATTGCAGTGACCAGCCTCCGATTAGACATCGTGGTCTGGTCCCAGGCAACAAGACAGGTGGCCCTAATAGAGCTGACAGTACCCTGGGAGGAAAGGATCGAGGAGGCACATGAACGCAAGTTGGGGAACTATCAGTCCCTCACTGAGAGCCAGCAGAGGGGTTGGAGAACCTGGAATCTACCGGTGGAGGTTCTCTACCAGGGGATTCCCAGGACAGTCACTTTGGAGAGCATTGGGGATGCTTGGGGTTAGAGGGGCAACCCGCAAGAACCTAGTGAACAAGATAGCAGAGCAGGCAGATACAGCATCCAGATGGCTGTGATTGAAGAGGAGCGAGCGGTGGCTAAACCTGGCTGGCAGAGAGGGCGGGGGTCAGAGCGGTGTGGTATAGTCCTGAATGACAGGGAGCAGTTCCAGGACGCTGGTTCTGCTGTCAAGCCTCATGGAGGTTTCGTGGGCTAGTTGATGAAACACCGGTGAAGTGGGGTGCCCACTTGAAAACCCAGTGAAGTCAACAGGTCTGAACCATTCAGCTCTGCCCTCAGGTGAAGACGTCTAAAGCAGTGGTTCTCAAAGTGGGGTCCGCGGACCCCTGGTGGTCCGCGAGCTAAAGCCAGGGGGTCCGCGAAATAATTTACAACCTAACGTTTTTTTCCATGCTATGAGTCATGTTTTCTTTATCATCTGAAAACATGCTGTTTATTCCTATAACTTATATAAAGCATTTAACATAAAACAATACAAAGTAGACACTTAAAGTTTTCTATAGATAGATAATCTATGTCTTTGCGTCAAGTAGACTATTCGCTGCTGTTGATTTTGCGGGACGTGCGCCAGAAAGGAGACAGAGAGACGGCATGAACCCGCATCCGGTTCTTTTCTGTATTTTTAAAAGGCATGACATTTTGTAGTCATTTATAATGTAGCCTATACACAAATAAAAAAAATGGACACTACCGTTTCGGATGATGCACTCTTGTCTTATCTACAACCCGAATTCCAGAAAAGTTGGGACGTTTTTTAAATTTGAATAAAACTAAAACTATACAACTTTCAAATCACATGAGCCAATATTTTATTCACAATAGAACATAGATAACATAACAAATGTTTAAACGGAGAAATTGTACACTTTTATCCACTAAATGAGCTCATTTCAAATTTGATGCCTGCTACATGTCTCAAAATAGTTGGGACGGGGACACGTTTACCATGGTGCAACATCTCCTCTTCTTTTCAAAACAGTATGAAGACGTCTGGGCATCGAGTTTATGAGTGTCTGGAGTTTTGGTGTTGGAATTTGGTCCCATTCTTGCCTTATATAGGTTTCCAGCTGCTGAAGTGTTCGTGGTCGCCTTTGACGCATTTTTCGTTTAATGATGCGCCAAATGTTCTCTATAGGTGAAAGATCTGGACTGCAGGCAAGGCCAATTCAGAACCCGGACTCTTCTACGACGAAGCCATGCTGTTGTAATATCTGCAGTATGTGGTTTTGCATTGTCCTGCTGAAATACACAAGGCCTTCCCTGAAATAGACGTTGTCTGGAGGGGAGCATATGTTGCTCTAAAACCTTTATATAGCTTTCAGCATTCATAGTGCCTCCCAAAACATGCAAGCTGCCCATACCGTATGCACTTATGCACCCCCATACCATCAGAGATGCTGGCTTTTGAACTGAACGCTGATAACACGATGGAAGGTCTCCCTCTTCTTTTGTCCGGAGGACACGGCGTCCGTGATTTCCAACAAAAATGTCAAATTTGGACTCGTTTGACCATAGAATACTTTTCCACTTTGAAATAGTCCATTTTAAATGAGCCTTGGCCCACAGGACACGACGGCGCTTCTGGACCATGTTCACATATGGCTTCCTTTTTGCATGATAGAGCTTTAGTTGGCATCTGGAGATGGCACGGCGGATTGTGTTTACCGACAGTGGTTTCTGGAAGTATTCCTGGGCCTATTTAGTAATATCATTCACACAATCATGCCGATGAGTGATGCAGTGTAGTCTGAGGGCCCGAAGACCACGGGCATCCAATAAAGGTCTTCGCCTTTGTCCCTTACGCACAGAGATTTCTCCAGTTTCTCTGAATCTTTTGATGATGTTGTGCACTGTAGATGATGAGATTTGCAAAGCCTTTGCAATTTGATGTTGAGGAACACTGTTTTTAAAGTTTTCCACAATCTTTTTACGCACTCTTTCACAGATTGGAGAGCCTCTGCCCATCTTTACTTCTGAGAGACTCTACCTCTCTAAGACATCCCTTTAATCATG